TCATGTGTTCAATACTTTTTCCCTTATTATTTCACATAACTTAATTTAATAATTTTATTAAAAACTATGGTTTGATTTCTTTGCATGTGTGGATTGCATGGGTTGTTACCGACACATGGTGAAAATTTCATGTCAACTGAAAGGTGTGGTCTGATCTCAGACCCATTATCTCCTAAATTGTCCTTTAACCTTCTGTAACCCTGCTGACCCCTGACCTTTATTAACCCTGTCCTCCCGTTGCAGGCCTGGCTGTGCTGTCGTTTGGATGGACTGTTTCTGCAGGTGAACTGATGACACTCACACACACAATAATAATGAAATCTTATTTCCTTTGACACCAGAAGAAAATCACACATACCACCAAAAATATCAACAATTAACTTGTTCCATCCTGCCTGGTGTCTGTCTGTATATGTTTCAGGTCCGATTGGATTAACTGATTTATTAATTGATTGACAAACTTCTCTCTGGTCAACTAGACTAGCTGCCTGTATAGATGGGGTTCTGAACTTCATCGGTAAAATGCATTCCTTTAGAAAACAAAATGGAATGAATTTATATAGTCTTGTGTGACTGATCAATGATATTTATTAAATCCTGTATTGTATAGTGTTGTATGTGACACTTTCCCTGCCATAGATCTTGTGTCTGGCATGTGATTTGGAAACAGCAGGATTTTCATACATGGTGACATTATTAATAGAAAGAGGGAGATTCTGCTGTTCTGTTCTCTTAACTTCAGCACACGTTCCTCCTAGTGGTACAGGCAGGTAGTGGCACCTGTTCCCATAGAAGGGGGCAAATAAGGAACAGAATGAGGAATCAATTCTAAGGAACAAAATTATAGAAAGTCATGAGGATTTCAAAAATATTCAATATAATATTCAAAAATATAACTTTCAGGTCTAATATGACTAACTCTGTCTGTATATGGCTCTGGTCTGTGTTTTCTCATTCAGATCATACTGTGATCCTGGAGTTTCCCAAACTTCCTGTGATGACAGGAAGTGATGTCACTCTGCGCTGTAGAACCAGAGATGGTTCCATTGCGTATTTCTTCATGAATGAGAGCTTCGTTGGAACTGGACTCTCAGGAGAGTTTACCATCAGAGATGTCCAGCAGTCTCATGAAGGTTTCTACTGGTGTTCTACTGGTCTGTTTTCAGTATCATCGAAGACCTGGCTGAGTGTCAAAGGTCAGGACAGCATTATTCACTTTTTGTTTATGACAGCTGTTTTATCACTGATGTGGGTGACTATATGAACTAACCTGCTGCAGTTTCCCCTCCCCCCTCTCAAATCTGTTAGGTTAGTAGGTTAGTCTGTAAGGTAAGTAGGTTAGTCTGTAAGGTTAATAGGTTAGTCAGTAGGTTTTATGCTCTTAGGATTGGTCTTATTACAATCCTTACATGTCCATACAGTATGTACACATAAAGAGTTGTTGCCATCTATAACTGTCCATTCTAGCTGTGAAGTGAAGCCTTCCTAATAACTTTTTAAGTAAAAGGCAGTCTGATGCAAAATGTCCGACTGCGTTGTAGTTTATACCCCATTTATAGTATAGTTTAGAGTTGTTTTTCTTTTTTTGGCTGCCTTTTATTGCATTTTTTAATGTAGAGTGACAGGAAGAACCACACACCATCTTTTATCTGAATGTGCTGAATAGATGTGTGTGTGTGTATATATAGTAGCCTACATCCACATAAAGCCAGTAAAATGTATAAATACATATTTTTCTTTCTGTTTCAACCCTCTGTCTTCACTGGGCTGTTGTTTTTCTCACTCCAAAACATTTTTCAAAACTCTAAAACTCCTGTGATCACTTAAGTCAGTTTAGCCGATCACACAGTAGAGGTGCTGTGTTTATTTTGTCTGAAAATGTCATAATCAGGTGTGAAATTGCCACAGGGGATATGATGTCACATTTCTATGAAAAATGGAAATTTGCCTCCCCCACCTCCAAAATTTCCGTCTTGTATGCACTGTTCATTACTCTCAGGTCGACCACAGAAGTAAAACACATGTAAACTATAAACCAGTATATATATATCAGTGTTTTACTGCTTGTTGAACACATCTGGTCGGGTGTTTTTCAGTGTAACAAGATGGAGGAGGATCCACTTTTTTGTTTATTAGTTGCTTTTTGAAAACTGGGTCAAAACACACACAACTGTAGGTGGTAGTTCTGTATCACAGATCATATCGTAGTTCTGTATACCTGAGTGTGTCTGTAGCACATGGTCCTTCTTACCCTGTGTCCTGTATATGTTCTGTGTTTTACTGAACATGGCTGGTTAATACTGAATCTGAAAATACAGAGAATACTCATATACAGCTCATATAAAGACTGTGTGCACATTTGGATACAAGTAGGAGCTACTACAGACACAAATCATGAACACTGCCCATTAGCCATTTGTGCTTAATTATAAACAATTATTTGATTAGCACCGCTGGAAGCAGCTTGGGAATGACAACATTTAACATCCAATATACTGGACTCTGATTTCTTCTNNCTCCTCCTCCTCCCTCTCTGCCTTTATTCAGGCTGCTCTGCCATCTGGTGGTTGTGTGTCCGTACTTCATTTCCACCGTCCTGATGGTGTCTATCTACTGTAGCAAGAGGACAGGTAACACACACACACACAGGGTGCATTCATATACATTAACACACTTTAGTGCGCCCCCTAATGACAAAATTTGTAATTGTTCTTTACTAAGGAATAAGTACGAAGCCAATAAAAAAAGAGTTGACATCATTATTAAAAATGATTTTCTTCCCTTTGGGTCAAACTTAGGACAAAGGGAGGATGTTACTGTTCTGCTTAAAAAAAACTGGAACCAAATGTCCCTCTGTTTGGCAGCCATCTTTCAACTCTGTCATTCTGGGGAAGACAATGTCAGGAAGCAACATTTTGGTAGAACTGAATACAACCACAAAGAAATGTTCAATTCCCTAACTCCATCCATGCCTTCTAACTCTGCCTACAGGACACATACCAGCTGTCTCCATGGAGATGGACCGTTGTGTTGAAGGCGGTCAGGGACTGGCTGAAGAGTATGATTACGTCACTGCTACCACTGAATATAATTTCTGAGGGTGCATATGCTGTATATGATTGTTTCATATCACACACTCAAGCTGCATAAGCTGCTGAAGTGTGAACAGGCTCATGCTTGACTCTTTGCTGTCAGTCCTTCACATCTCTCTGTTGTGAGTCTACTGTTAACGTCAGTGTGCTAACATGCTCACAGTGAGAATGCTGATGAAATGCTGATGTTTAGCAGGAATACAGCTTACCCTTTTCAGCATCGTAGTATACTGTGTTAGCATGCTAGCATTTGCAGTCAGAAGATTGGCAGAGTTATTACAATTCATCCTGAGGAGACATGAATGTCTGAACCAAATTTCATGGCATTCCATCCAGTAGTAGTAGTCAAGACTTTTCAACCCTAAGCAAAAATATCAACCTTGTGGTCAGATCACCAAAATCGTTAGGATTCACTTTCTGGGGATTATGAATCTCTGTGCCAAACTTTTTAAAAAGCTCTGGAACAAGTTAGTTAGTGGTCCTTGAATTGAGATTGTTTGGTTGAAAAGCATATTGTGTATAGTGTTTTATGTGACACTTTCCCTGCCATAGGTCTTGTTTCTGGCATATGATTTGGAAACAGCAGGATTTTCATACATGGTGACATTATTAATAGAAAGAGGGAGGTTCTGCACTCTTAACTTCACCACACATAAGTTCCTCCTAGTGGCACAGGCAGGTAGTGGCACCTGTTCCCATAGAAGATCAGACCTTATCATTATCGGCCCCAA